GAGTCTAACATGCACTTGATATATGTTTTGCTGGCTTCTTGTTATTTTGGCATGAGCTTAACAGCAAAAAAAAAAAAAAAAAAAAAAAAAAAAAGAAACATGAGATCAAGAGTTCCCTATTTTTTCCTACATAAAGGTATTTGAAAGAAGATAAAAATTCTTGAAACATTTGCAACTCCTGTCTCTGCTATACTCTAGAAGTGATGCTAACTTTATGTTTCTCATTTCCTCTCTAAAACCAAATGGAACTATTATTTCATATTCTTTTATCCATCAGAATAACTGAATTTGCCTTGTCTGATTTTGTTGGGGTAAATATGAAAAAGGAAGAAAAGTAAGTAAAGTAAGTAACAGATACCAACAGTGTGGTGGTCAATTGGAATTTACATGATCAACTGTTCTGCGTGACCCTTTATATTGACAAACACTGAAAACTGGTGGAAACAAAAAACAAGCAAAAGAGCATCAATAACAGCCTGTTCTGCATGGCATAGCCAAGTACATAAAGCAGTTCATAATTAATTATCAAGATTTGTGGCATGCAGCTGCAGCATCCTAAGAAAAAAAATCAAGTTTATTTATGAGCATCTTAATCATTACTTATCAATCATTAGCAATGAATAGAGAAACACTTTAAATGATAGAGTATTTTGGCACATCCAAACTACAACTTTTTGCCTGTGGCAAGGACTACTATGTACAGCCCAATAAAATTGGTGAGATCTTGTTTTCATTCAATATAGTTGGAATTGCATCCTAAGGTTTAATTTTGAATAATGGTTATTCAATGACTATTTAAAGCTTCTATTTCATAAAATCAAGCTAGTTAAAATTAAAAAAAAAAAAAAAACTCATTCCTGTTCAAGTTGCTAAATGCTGAACTGATAAAAAAGTACTATGTCTATATACCATGCTTGTACATGGGCTTTTCTACCATCTGAACGTCTGTCTAGGGGACAGAGGTTGCTCATATACCAATTGTATGAAGATCTGGGTATATTGCTCATACAAGGAAAGAGGCTGGCTACCATATCCGAGTCATTTCCTCAGGCCTCCTCTTGCAAAAACTCTAGAAACTTGTTTATAGCATATTACTTTGCCTATAAAAAATTATAAGTTTAAGTTGCCTTACCAGGTCTTCAGGAAGAACAAGGGCTGTGGTAACAACCTTTTAAGATTTAGAACCTGTTTTGTGGAGACACTTAAAAAGTTTATGTAGAACTGCATGCAGATCAAGAAAGACAGGTGACTGGATTGAAATATAAACCTTTGGAAACTTTTTTCCTAGTTCGTCTTTATTTAAAATAACTAAGTAACTGGCTGGATTTCTCGAGCTGATGGATTAAAACAGTCTATCATGATGAAATTCTCCAATATTACTGACTGGCAAGAAATCTGTGATATGTGAAGGCTAATAAGCAGTGAAGGATGTTAGTGTTCCTTATATGAAAAATGAAGTTATATAAAGCCAATTTGAGTATTTTTTAATCTGAAATTCATTAAATATTTCAGGTTCATACAGTGGAAGAGACTTGAAATGTCTACAGATCCACAGCAAGAGTTGATGGTGATGACTTAATATAGTTTAAATTACACTTCAGGACTCCCATTATATCCTGCCTTGTGTGTCTCTCATACAGCATAGCAAGGGACAAAAAATGGAGAAGGTAAAAGGGAAAGACTTTATTTTTGTATCTTTTATGATACTACATATATAGTTAACACCAAGCAGCTACATACTGATAGTTCAAAAAAAGTATGAATACCTAAAGTGTCCAGTGATCCCAAAGAGCCCTTAAGTTTTTCAGATAAAATATTTAAAGTCACAGAAAAATAAGAGAATATTTTGTGGCAGGCAGGTGCATGAGGGGAACAACTCTTCCAAAGCTTAGAATGATGTATCTACAGAAGTTTGCATACCACTCTGAGTCATGTAGGTCTGTAAAGTTATTTCATGGTCACTGGGTCAAAGATCTACATAAACTAAAGGTAAATATTTTTATTTCCAGCACATGGATAAGTGTTTGCAGTTATTCACATGCAGTTCATTTCCCTGAACACCAGCAGTCACGTGCAATTTCTTGAACTGGGTGCAGCAGTACTCAACCCAGCAGCAGCAGCTACTGAGTGCCAAAGGAAAATAAATCATAGAGAGGCATTATTCTGCTGGGAAAATGAAATGGAAAATGACTCTCCTGTAGCCAGTAGGCTCGTGAGGAGCACATTACATTACAAAAACATTCAGCTTCGTAGTTGCAAACCAGCCACTAGAGGTCAGTGGTTTGGAATAAAATAAGCACAAGAAGGAAAAATTCGATTTCATTTCAAATGACCTAATCATATAAAATTTCCACCCTTTGAGTAAGGAAAAAGTACTCTTAAGGTTAGCAGTGCTTACCTTCATCCTAAAGCAAAAAATTTAAAATCCATAAAAACAATACTAGGTACATAATATACCAAAAAAACCTACTCTTATTCTCCACAGTAATATGCAGACGTGTAAGAATGCAGGACTGTAGGAAGCTTCTTGCATCATCAGGTCCAGTCTCCTGCTACTCCACCTGTCCTATAAGCCCTTACATGATGAAAGAAAGGAAAACTTAAAAGCAGCTTGATTCTTTTGCTTATAAGAAAAAAAGAATTACAAGAATGTTAAATAAGCTCAGTCAGTACTTTGGAAGTGCATAAAGGCAGGATATTAAAAGGACCTGTGCAGTGCAAGAATCTTCCTTAAAAACTATTTCTGTTAGAAATGTGTAACACTGCAAAGAGAAAAGGCTGACAGAGGGCAGGAAGAAGCTTTTTCATCATAAAGTGCAAAGTGTATATCCAAATACAAAAAAAAAGTCAAAATATTATGTTTTATTTACTCATTCATCCGCTGCTGTAAGCATACATACACATTGATGCAACTAAACATCTTACCTCTGCCCCACAGTGATGTTAAAAAATTTGAGATAATTAGAAATAGAACCACTGGATGCTCAAACACATGCACACTGAACTAATGCTTGATGCTATAACTGTAATTTTCTAAGGTTTCGGTATTTCTCTGTATTGTTGAGTTACACAACTGAAAATTCCAGTGGACATGAAAATTCAGAAAGTCAATCCTAGATTTCCATCTGCTATTACAAAAAAGCTGTCTTTAATTATGGTGGGTTCCCAGCTGGACTGGGGACCCTGGAAGGGATAGAAACTAAAGAAGGAACTCTTGTATAGGGCAGGGTGGCATGCACAGACCTGGAAGGTGTTTTTGTGGCAGGCAGGTACAGGAAGGTTTTCCGGCAGAGTAAGCTGAGTCATTGTTATGAGACATGGGTAGTGGGCAGCTCTGTCATGCTGATTTAGCAGAATGACATAATGTTGTAAACTGCCAATCGAGGGTTATTTATGTAACTTGAAAACCAATAATGATTTAACATGTGTAGCCTAAAAAGTGTATAAAACCTGCTGCGATATGTGGGGGGGTAAAAAAAAAAAAAAAAGGTTCCAGTTCCTGGATCCAGAAGAGTCAGTGTTGTTTCGTCCCGCTCCAACCCGTGACAATTAATGGCTTTGATTTAAACTTCATCACTGAAAGGATTCACAATTTAGTCAGAACGTAACTGAAATTGCTATAGCAGGAAGTATCTTGAAAGGGATTGTAATAGGAAAACATCTGTCATCTCAAAACACTCTTCAGATTTTCTAGATTGAAAAAAAAAGTAAATAAAAAATGTTAAAATGCTACATTACAAATATCATGTTCTATGCAAACGTACATTAGGAGAAAACCCCATGCAGTTGCACATATGAGATATTCCATGAGATTGCCAAGAAAAAAACATAGCAAAGCAACACAGAAAAGGAAAAAAACCCAACAAAACAAACAAACAAGAAGCCCAGTAATAATATAGACCAAAGCATTTATTTCTTCACTTTTCCACTATAGGAGCTTCAAACACAATAGAGAAGAATACATAATTCCACTGCAGCTATTTTCCATTTTAAGTAAACCAAGATTAACCTGTCAGTTCATGTACAGCATCTGAACATGCTATTCCAACAGTATTTTAATAGAGAATAAATTTGAAATAATTTACAGCTTGAAAACTTAAGTACTATCCAGAGGATTCTGATTGCATGAAACCATGAATGGTAAACTGGGGTTTGTGAAAGCAACGGAACATCCACTAGGATTTCCAGACCTCTTTTTAACATAGAAATTAACTTTTCTGCATTTTCATTATTTGTATCCCCATTCTTCTTCCTTCTCTTTCTGTTGCACTTCTACCTGTGTGAAAACTATAGTTGACTTTGCTTTAGCCCTTTAGCCCAGAACCTTTTTTAATTTCTGATTTTCAGCTTAATTTTCCTGTGCAATATCTCAACTAACTGATGCACTGTCTTCATCTAACATACTCTTCCTCTTCACATTAGCAAAGGATCATGAGTGAATATTCATAGGAACACACAGAGCAAATGAAAATACCATGATCAGCACTTGTTCAAGGAAACCAATTTTCACACCTGAGGCGAGAGTCTGGACTGTTGCAGAACTTCACTTGCCTCAAAGCAAGATATCGTGGTCAGACACGTGGAAACTGATATAGAGATGAACTCAAATTATCTTAAATGAAGAGCAAAGTCTTTCATGGCTCCTTAAAATACAATTCACACTACTGTTTTTATGCAGCTGTATAGGAGGAGCCAGCTGTGGTAGAATAAAGCCCAGCTGGTTGGCCCTGGGGTTGAACAGACGTCCGCTACTAAACGTGCCATCACAAATGAGCTAAGCCTAGCCCACAAGAAGAGAGTAACATAGGGTCACATTATTAACCACACCGGTTCACAATTTTGCTTATAAGTTGCAAAACAAATTATTATTATACTGATATAAATTCCAAGTAATTAAGCGCAAGTCACAACTCATTTTCAGTTCAGCAGTGGCACTTAGGTAGTGGGATGCAATCAGTCACAAAATAACCTATTTAAAAATTAAAAAGGCAGGACTCCTGCCAAAACACAGGTGTACAACTTTCTCTATTAACACCTGTACTGAAAATATGGCAGTAAACTGGGCACATGCATAGATTTTTCCCCACAGAACTTGGGGTTAACTATGCCAGGTGTAAAGCAGAATAGTTCCAATGACTTAAAAGACAGGGATCAGCTTTTTTTTGGTTTTGACATACACATTAATCTTTCTGTTTCTCTAGAAAAAGCAAATGAGATGCCGCAATAGCTCACTGCGTCCTACCCTATTCTATACACACACACACACACACACACACACACAAAACCAAACCCAACACCCAACATGCACCTACAACATTTAACAGAAAAAGCTGTTGGTCATTAAAGTCACTCAGAGATTTGAACTTAAACAAGTGCTGTTTTGCAAAGCAACACTGATAATACTTAAAATCTATAAAGAAATATACAATCTGATTTCAAGAACAAAACCATAGCCGTATCAATACAGACAAAAAAATTTAATTTGTTTCAAAATAAATATTTGACATACAAAGCACATACAGTGAAAAAGGGTCACAATAAATTACAAATGGAGATACTTGCTCATTCACTGAGAAAAGCCCTTGATATTTCCAATTTCATACCATCAAATTTATCATTCTTGCTGATTTAAGCACAGCACTGAACAAATATGGATCCCAGTGCTTTCTTTCACAGGTACTGGTATGGATAATTTACTGCAGTGATCCGATTTGAAAATCAGTAGGGACCAGTAAATCGCTGCATAAAAGAAAGAGCGAATGAGGTGCTTTTTCCTTAGTGTCAGCAGCCTGCGATTATTATGTTTATTAGATTTTCTTGAAAGGGCTTCACGTTTTCTCAAATATGCAGGAGAACTATATTTCCCCTCTGAGCCCTTACATTAGCATTTTGTGCCTCAGTCCTTGAATACAAGTAAAAGATGAATTTTTCAATTAATTTTAAAAGTTTATACCATCTGGATGGCACAGAACTAAGCAATGAAACTCCCTTACCTGCACAGCATCTGCCATTATCACAGAGCTAGCTTCTGCAGAGAAGTAGTAAGTAACGCTGACATTTTATGAGAAAGATTTTTGAATCCACATTGAAGATTAAATTCTATTACATTATCCATACTGATAATGTAGCTTTGAAATAAAGGATTGCTTAAGGTTCTGTCCTTAAAAGGCGATTTAAAACAGTGAGGCCTGACTGTTCCTGTGACTTTAAGGGAATTACAGCACAATAGAAGTTACAGTACAGTGATACACTAACCAATTTCCATATATATAGTTTAACCGTAATAGATGCACTGCAGCAATTAAAAATTAGACAATTATAAGATTAGCATACCCTACTACCATTTAGCATTTAGAATTTTCCATCTTGTTCTGTTGCATTACTTTTCATCAGTGCAGAGATGATGATACAAGGGACCATACCTAGCTCTTGTACACAGAAATCAATTTTTGATTTCTGATTACTGCTTTAAAAAGGCATGCTGTCTAGCTCAATGTCTTTTCTGCCCTTAATCTGAGCACTGTAAGGTACAGTACTTTTTTAAGTATTTAAGCCAGCAGTTTGTATAATTTTGGGAGCAGGACCAACAAGTTATATGCGGTGTAGAAACAAATCAGTTTCCTCTGGGCACTTGTCCAACTCTCTGTCCTATTTTCTGCTCTGCCAGAGCTCTAACAATCCCTCAGGAAAGTGGTCTTTTCTTCCATGTCTCCATTCCTGTCTGTAAAATGGACAGGAACTATACTTCCTTAATAAACATGGGATCTGTACAGCAAATGTTGCACTACAGGTGCCTAACGAAAAAACAGTCCAACACAGACTGTACAAAATAACCAGACACATTATTTCTTTGGACAGTACTATAACATATATAGTTAGCAGCTCAAAAACTGTTGGAAGAAATAGTGGCTCATGATTGTAATGGATTTTTTTTTTTAAAATCCCTAAAACATGCAACTTAAAATATTAACAGATATTGCTCACCGTTAGCATCCATCAACGAAGGGAGGAAAATATAAAACTGACAACACAGAAATTATAATAAAAGTATAAAATTAAATAAAAGGCAATAAAGGAAAGGATGGATGTACTGGTGAGTTACTTGGTGTGTAAGAAATCCCAGCTGGCATTAGCTATTCCAAAAGTCGCAATGGCTCTTGATACTTTATTTACCTACAGGTGACAACAGAAACTGTTAGGATGGAGCTCCATTTCTACTTGTTTGTGCAGAGCAAGGGGTGGGTCTACTCACAGAATCTGTGCAACAGCAATTATCTTACGAAAGCTGAGATGACAAAAAGCAATGACCGGT